CCAGACTATAACTGAAACTGAGGTCCTCTGGAAAGGTGGTTCCTTAAGCTTCCTGAGGAGCATCTTGTAAATGAAACGAAACAATGAATCCAAAGTGTAACTGTTCTCAGGTCTCTCCCCTCCCTTCCCTGTCCTGCCTGTTTTCTGTTTTCTCAAAGCAGAGAGGTTACAGCACTCCTACTGGACTTGGATTGGGGCCTCTCAGAATTCATCACATAATTAATTACATATTAAAAGGAATCAAGCAGTGAGCACTGTCTAGCTTCCGTGATGTTTAATTAACCCAGGGAGTGGACTGTGTCACTGATTCTCAATAAAGCCACCAGCTGCTCCGTGTGTCCCCAGCGGTGTGGCTGGTGGAATCCTTTCCTGCCCTCCACCGCGGCTGGCCACTGCTAGACACCTGCGGCTCCTAAAAACCTCAGCACACCTACTGCTCATGGCCAGGCTTGGGGCTTTTTTCCTTCCTCTGGTCAGCAGCCTCAGCCAACTAAAGGCTCAGCAGCACCTTCTGGTGGCACAAGAATTCATGGTGAGCTTTTTGGTGCAGCTTTGTTGGCAAAAGAGCCACCTCGAAGGCCTGGCACTGAAAGCCAGTGAGTAGCAGCCACACTGCATCCCAAAAACAATTACTTCTGCCACTAGTAAGCCTGAAGTGGCCACTGTCAACCTAACAGATCCATTAATCTGCAGGGACCTGCACACTACAGCAACAGCAAGATAGCATTTCATCCCCTAGACTGTGCAAAACTAGAGTTTGGAAATATTAAAAACTGGAGCAAGTACCCCTCTGCCCATGGGCGGGAGTAAACTGGTACAGCCACTTTGAAGAACCACTGGGCAGTCTCTGGTAACATTAGAAATGCACACACCCAGCAACTCTGTGATTCCCCTTCTGGTTAACTACCACAGAGAAACACTGGCACAGGTACAAGAATGGTCACCACAGCACACTCTTCAGACCAAACAATTGCAAAGACCTGAATGTCCATCATTAGATACATGGCTAACAGAACACCAGATATCAATGAACAGAAATGTAGTAATCTCATGTTTATAACCACATGGAGAGACCTCCAAGACTTATTTTTTTTAAAAAATCAAATTGCAAAATAATGCATATAAAATAATAATACTAATGTGAACACATAAGATTAAGTAATGTATATCATAAAATCATAGAGAAAAGTCTGGAAGGATACAAACCAAACATGTTTAAGGTGTAGTATTCTTTTTACATTAAATTGCATGAAAGGATGCTTCGTCTGGGTGCATCCGGGATACCTGATACCATTCTAGGTATCTACAGCAGAGAGAATTTAACACGGAGATTTGATTACAAAGGTTGGGGAGGACTGAAAGAGTAGGTTCAGTGGTTATATGCTGCCCCTGCCCCTACCCCTGGGGTGCATTTTAGCCCCAGGGAGTGTGCCTGCTGGTCACTATAGAAGCCACTGTATGGTTGGTTCTGCACCTACCAGAGGCACAACCTTGACCAGGACCCCATGCCCACTGTTGCACCAGCAACCTCCAACACCTGCTGCCCTGGAATCATATCTCCATCCCTTGCCATCTGTTCTCCTGCCAGAACCTAAGAGAAAATCTAAGGAAATGTAATGGAGTCAGGGCACGTAGATTGCAGACTTTCAGCTTCAACAATAAAAGGCAGCGCATAAAAGAGACAGACCCTCTAAGTAGAGGTCTTAACCTGGCCCAGATGAGTCTGAATTCTCTGTGCTCCTCATCACTGTGTCCATCAGTCGCCATTCAAAGTTTAAGCTTCCCTCCCAAGGTGATCAATGCAATCCCCATCCAAATTTCATGGGGATTTTTCACAGAAATAGAAAAAAAAAAAAAAAAGTCACCTAAAATTTGTATAAAACCACAAAATATCCCAAATAGTCAAAACAATCTTGATTTCAAACTATATTACAAAGCTATAGTGATGAGAAAGAAAGTAGGGTATGGCGTGAAAACAGACATGTGGGCCAATGGAACATAATTGATAGCCCGGAAATAAACCCATGCCAGTATGGTCAACTAATATTTGACAAAGAAGCCAAGAAATATTCAAAGGGAAAGGGCAGTCGCTTCAAAAATGGTAGTGAGAAAACTGGATAACCACATGCAAAATAATAAAATTGGACCCCTATCTTACACCACTCATAAAAAATCAACTCAAAATGGATTAAAGACCTAAATGTAAAACCTGAAACTGTAAAACTCATGAGAGAAAACATAGGGAAAAATCTCCTTGACATTGGTCTTGGCAAATATATATATATATTTGATAAGCAGTTAAAATCCAAAATATATAGGGAACTCACATAACTCAATAGAAAACACACACACAAATATTCCAATTTAAAGACCTGAGTAAACTTTTTTTCAAAGAAAATATACAAATGGCCAACAGTAAATGAAAAGGTGCTCAGTATCACTAATGATCAGGGAAATGCAAATCAAAACTACAATGAGCTATCACCTCACACCTGTCAGATGGCCATCATCAAAAAGACAAGAAATAACAAGTGTTGGCGAGGATGTGGGGAAAAGTAAACCCTTGTGCACTGCT